GACGCTCACCGTGCCCGTTCCCCCCGTGTTCGCTGCGGACCTGCGAGGCGGCGTGGCGGAGCTGCTGGACTCGATGCTGATGAGGTAGGCATATTCTATGTTGCATATGGTCTTACAGATGAATGAATGGGAAGTGTGCGTGGGTCGTTGCGGCGTGTGCGGACGTGATCGGTTTGCAGGTACATCCCCGCGCTGCAGGGCGTGGTGCTCGCCCACGACCGGCTGGAGTTCCTGGAGAAGACGGCAACTATAAAGGCGGATTGTCCGTTTACGATATGTAAGGTTGCGTTCGACGCGACTGTATGGAGTCCACAAGTGGGCATGAAGCTAGGTAAGTCGATACACGGGCATGCAGTACCCCATGGGCAGCGCTGATCCAAGAAAATAGTGGGCAAGATCAACCTCTCGTCCCCAGATCATATATCCCTGCTCGTACACCGCACGTTCAACGTTTCGATACCCCGATATCACATCACTACCGATATATACGAGTTCGAATACGGTCCCGCCGAGAACGACCCCGAATTCGGCACAGCAGGCGCAGATGACGCCGCACCAGACCCCGCCGCAGACACTGCAGAGGCTCACGAGCAGATCCAAAGCGGCGGCCGCTGGGTGCACACGCTCACCGATACGAAGCTTGGCGACGCCGACGGCTCCCTCGAATTCACCGTTGTCGGGTGCGTACCTCCCCCCATTCTGCTCATCGGCTTAATACTCACGTCGTCCCTACAGCCTCACAATCGCAAACCAAATGATCTCATTAGTTGGTTCGATACAGCCGGACCCCTTCTCCCCCGAGCACATTCCCAAAGCCACGGTCACAACCGCGACGGGCCCGAAATCTACGCGCACCGCGCAACGCGCCGACCCCGTGATGATGAGTGAGCGCGAGGTCGATGCGCTCATCGAGGATGGGGATGAGAGCGATGATGAGGACGCGTTCCAGAAGCTAGGACGCATGGGCGACGAGGCAGAAGCTGCGGAACGGCGGGCTCGCGAGGCGGCCGAGGAGACGGCCCGGAAAGAGAAGAAGCGGAAGCGGCGAGAGAGCAAAGCACAGGAGAAGGGTGGGGATATACAGGATGCCTCGGGGGAGAGGAAAAGCAAGAAAAAGAAGAAGACTAGTTAGGTCTGCTTGTTGTCTATGTTGCTTTGCTATTCCTCGTATGTTTAACAGTTAGCATGGAGCCCTGTTTGTGGAACAATGAGAATATGGTGTCACGTAAGCGAAGCAAGATATCGCCCGCCTAGCTCAATCGGATAGAGCGTCAGACTCTTACTAGCGGGTGATCTGAAGGCTGCGAGTTCGACCCTCGCGGTGGGCTAATCGTTTTGTCGTCGGACGTTGTGAAAGCCAAGCTACGTTTTTGCAAAGAGGAACGTTCGACTCCCGGGAGCTCTGGATCTACGATAATATTGCGCAGGTAATGGATCAATATTGTGGACGGCAAGAGTAGTAATGAAAGATAAGAATACAGGGATGATCGACCTCATAACTTGACGGCAACTTAGTATACTTGAATCAATTTAAATCCGATGAAGTCGAACGAGACCGTAGGACGGGTGCGACGGGAGGGCGCGGAGATTCAAATGAACTGAGGAAACTCGAGAATATTGACGTCTGGCTTCGGCGGCTCAGCACGTTGCCGGATAGGAATGGTGAACTGAACGTCCTTGTGCCCGGGTCGTCGCAGAGTGCAGAGCTGGCCATCTCGGAGGAGGAACTTCTCTGTCCCCGGAGGTATCTTGTCAATCGGAATACCGAACGAGCATTCGAGCGGCCGCAGCCCGACCGTCGGGGTTGTCCCAAGCGGGACGGTTGGACCAGGTCCGGCGAAGAGACTGAACTCGAAGGGCGAGTTCTCGGGTTCTCCGGTCGCGGTAAGGACGAAGTCGAGACAGTATTCACTCGCATATTTGGAGCCCGGGAAGAGTCTGACAGAGTAGTCGCTGTCTGGGATGGGCTGGATGAAAACTCCGAAGTCGCCGGGACGTGGTTTGAGCTGGAGAGAGAGCATGAGGAGGAGCACGGCGAGCCGAATGGACCGAACGCACCCCCGTAAAGTCGGCTTTGGCATCGAGGCATTTCGTGGCCCGCCGAAAGACAAACTCAGGATTTCCGGATTTACCCGTCATCTCCTTCAGATCGTTCTCCAGATATTTCACTATCCCTTCCACAGAGGTCCCCTTGTAAAGTCCATCATTGAGGGAGAGGATCTCGAAGTCGTTCTTCGGGGTGTAGAACGAGTAGCGCTTGCGAACTCCTTCAAGACAGACGTCGCGTACTGTCTCTCGGGGTGTCAAGAAAGATGTGGTATTGCAGGGAGGTGATGTTGAGGTGGACGCGCCATTCGCGCTGCGAGGTTCCGACAACGCATCTTGAATATCTTGTAAGCGTCTTGATTTGCTACTGGCTTTAGGTCTCGCAGTTGTCGCCGAGACCTAAACACAGGATGTGCGGCATGTCAATGCTGATCAATTGGAGCAGGAACACAACAAGGACCGTATACCTTACGAGGCAGCGTCTTGGTATAGGAGTCAAATGAGGAATCGGAGGCAGATTCAAGGCCCCCCTTGGGGAGAGTTACAATGGTTTTGACGCTATTGTACGGCTGGTGTCGTTTGACCTTCTAGGTGGCGTTAATGCTATATGAGAAGCATGTATGAGCAAGTTACACTTACATGACGTGTAGAGGACTCGTCTCTGCTGGTGCGAGCCATTAGTGGTTAAACGCAACGCGGCGCCCGTGGTGCGATGTTGTGGATGAGCAACGTAGACGCCGGGACGAAAGTACTCATCCCGACATGCATTGTTCGGAAATGTCTATTATACATAGGTTCCAGTAGTCACCATTGTGCAGCGAAATCGGCCACTGTCTACAGGCTGCGGATCTGGTCCTCCAAAGTCTTCCACTTCCACGCCTTCTGTCCCGGGTTGACGAGCTCGTTGTCGTTCTCACTGAAATCTGCCCAGTTCTTCCCCAGCGCAACGCTGAAAACAGATATGCTTAGTCTCTCTGCAACCTAAATCGCTCTCACGCTGAGTGCTTACCGGATGTAATCCAGGAGATTCCCTGCGTGCCCCTTCTCCGAGCGCAGGCGGGCTATGGCCGCCTCGATGTCCACGCTCTGGATCTCGCCCTTCGGTACGCCCTTGACGCGCGCGAAGATGTCGCGCACATCCTCGAAGGTCACAATCGATCCCGCGATGCGGACCAGGTCCGGGACACTGGCCGCCGTCTTCGGGTCAAGCGCGAGGAGAGACAAGCTGGCGGTCGCCCTGCCGATGTCCGCCTTCGACGTGGTCGCAAACTTCTGAGACGCGGGCCCGTATGGCGTGAACACGTTGTTCTGTAGATCGAAGCCCACTGCGAAGATGAAGCTGTGAGTTATTCGCCCGTCTGCTGGGTAGTGTAGGCGACTTACAGTACGGCCCTAGCAGAATCTCGACAAAAATGCTCGAGTAGAGAGCGATGACCTTCGTCTGAGTGCCCTTCGCGATGGCACGGGTGGCCTTCGCAATCTCCTGCTTCTCCGCCCACTCCGGGTGCTCATAGCCGGAGAAGTCAACCAGCCTGTGGTCACTAGAGTGCATAGTGTGAGTTCACCACGCTTCTCAAAGGATGGCGTATACTCACAGTCCGAATTCGCCCAAGAAGAAGACCTTTACGCCCGCCTTGACCGCCGCCTCGCCAACCTTGTTTCTGTCCTCCTCGGACACGGAACTGGCGAGGAGGTTCACGACGACATCCGTCCCAGCAAGTGCGGTGGCCAGAGAGTTCAAGTCGAGCGCGACGACCTCTGCGCCCTTCTTTGCGAGGTCCTGGGCTTTGGTGGCGGACGGGTCCCGCGTAAAGACCCGGACAGTGGAGAACGATGCCTTATAATCCGTCAGGAAGACAGAAGTGATGGGCTCGCCTGTGGGATGACAGTACTATTAGCTCGCACACGCAAGCTGCCTCAGCACACAGAGACTTACCTAGTTGGCCTGTGCCACCGATGATAGCGACGCTGGGCTTGGTGCTGCTGGTGCTGGAGGACATGTTGTGGAGGTATAGTACTGGTAGGTGAAGGTGTTGATGCCTTACCCCGCACAAAACGCGGCCTATTTATCCATCGAGGCTTCCCCCTTCCACACGATGCTGCTACGATCGCGTTCCATGGCGATCGACCATCTCGAATACAGCTGAGTACTGCAATACCGTCGCGGCGTCGCCAGGCTTCGGATGACGACTCGCGGTCTCAAAAAATCACACAATTATGGCGCCGCCGACCATCGCACCCACTCACTCTCCGCGTTCGCGCCCAATTGCGACAGGGCGAAGGCGCGGAGTGTGCCCGTTGCCCCTGTCGCCACCGCCTTAGCTCCTCTTAACTGCAAACTCCACCCTTCCGCGCGCGTAGCGCCCGCCGTTCGTCGTGTTCCGCCCTCCGCTCACCAAGCATTGACATTGGCTACGCCCCGCAAGATCGTTACTAGAACGCATGCTTAGTGAGCGAAATTGGACTTTTTGCAACCAGGCTTCAAGCCTTGAAGAGAAGCTGAACCAGCTCGTCATATGGTGTTCGTAAAGGTACCTGTGCATGTCAGCCTCCAAGCTTATGTCCTTTGATTTGGGCTCACCTGGACAGCATTGAAATTGGCTAGAATGGGTGGATCACTGTACTATACGCCTCGGCGGGTGTTGTGTCTGGGACAAATATCACATTCCACATTCATAGTCGTCGCGAGCCGATAATGGTAAACTAGTCAAGCCTGGCGCCGCCGAGGTTAGTACTCCCGTCCCGCCCCATGACACATTCAGCGTTTCGACATGGCGATGATTGCTTGTTGCACGAGGGATGTCGATTCACCATTATAGTTGCTGATACTTACAGGTGAGTAGGGTCTGGTCAAAGTGATAGAAGCGGGTTTTCGAAGAGGATGCTTTTTCAAGTTGCGAAGGCGTGTAGAGATACGACGTAGTCATGTATGCCTACATTTATAAAACAATATCGCCCGCCTAGCTCAATCGGATAGAGCGTCAGACTCTTACTAGAGTACTAGCGGGTGATCTGAAGGCTGCGAGTTCGACCCTCGCGGTGGGCTAATCGTTTTGACATTCCGACACTCACTTCCATTATTTTGCTCATTGCTTAATGCTGAAATATTTATCAATACGAGTTCGAACGAAGCTGAACCTCCATAAAATTAAGCGGGACAAGTGCGGCGGTGTCACAGATTCATAACTAAGTAAAGTAAGGCACTACTGCGTAGGTATCGGGACAGGCACGTCCATCTTGCTGTCGACATCCAGCGCGACGACGAATCGGCTGACCAAATTGTACGTGCCTACAGTGGCGACCGCATCGACTATCTGCTCGTCGGTCAAGAACTGGTGCAGGTTGTTGAACACCGGCTGAGGGACCTTGACCGCGTTCGTCATGAAGTCGGCGAAGATCAACGCTGCCGAGAGCTCCGGTGTGAGCGTCGTGCCCGGGGTGAGCGGAGACAGGAAGGCAGGTGTCAGTCGGATTTCGCGCAGCTGGTCGAGAGTCAGGCCCGCTGCCCGTCCCACGGACTCGTGCTGAAGCCTGCGGTTAAAGGGCGGCGTCAGCGTGACAGCGCGAGAAATGGAGTCGTGAGGGCATCGAGGTGCTCACCAGACGTATGCAGCGTTGTTCAGAACGCCTGTGCGCAGGATCTGAGGACAGTCAGCTCGCAGTAGGTTTTATAATTTGCCAATGAGCTCACAAAGAGTTCACGCATAGGCGCAGGCAACGAGTTGTTGTCCCGGATGTCCGTCGCAAGGGCATTCCATCCTGAGGCGAGCCCGTCATCTTGTAGTCTACGGAAAGGAAGTCAGGTCAATACACGTGAGCTCAGCTTCATCGATTTAAGACACGCACAGTACGCCGTCGAGGTCTAGTAGCGTTCCGTTGGTACGCCTTGCGCGGATGGCATCCGCGACCTAGAAACGCGATCACATGACTATCAGTACGCGGTGCCTCCTTTGGTTCATTGCCATGCTCACCGCGTTTGTTCCCGGGGCAGGGAACACATATGGCACCCGTGCAGGGAGGTTGTCGTCGCGCTTGACAGGCGAGTGCGCGAGGACGGTCCCGAAGAACGCGGCAAGGAGGCAGAAAATCAACGAGACGTGCGAAGGAGCCATTTTACCTCTCCAGAGAACGAAGCAGGTCGTAGTGGGTGAGGATGGCAGAGCCTGTCTGCGGATGCGCGTTCTTATATTGCGCCTCGAGGAGTCTTCGGCCGCATGTTATGACCTTGACATGCTTCTCCGTGTCCTGACCGGGTGGCCGGTTCCCATGGGCGTGGTACTTCGCACCCATTATTGGTCACGAGAATACGAAACCCGGCTTCCGAAGATTTGCAAAGCAGAGAAGGCCACGCGTTCAGGAATCCTAGAGCTGGATGTCGTCGTACAAGTACACATCAGACCAAGTTGTCGTGGCGCCCGAATGGTGTCTACTCGACGCGCACCTTGAGGAATGCGTGGACCTTACAGCCTCAATTGGTCAGTCAGAAAGCCGCAACGTGGTCCGCTAATCTATTCTCACCAGAGCACAAGGTGTCAAGGTCTCCCCACTGACACCGCGGGCGCCGGCCATCATGCATCACTTCAGCCACGACGGCCAGTGAACATTGCCGATACGTGCGTAGTAAGAGAGCCGGGCGTCTCCGGGTCGTCTACGTCGGGCCCACTCGGACTGCAGTGAATATGGGCTATTGGCAGTATTCGGAGTAAGGCTTTCGGCCGTGAACGTTAACATCCACGAGAAGGTCTGGAACCTAGAACTTGAAGTATTTGATACTCTGTCTTGCTAATCAGCCAGTGTTCGACTCCGACATTTGCCGCGTCTCTGAGTCCCCGTCCAGAGTTGGCTCTTCATATAGATCAGCATTCAATAACGCATTTGGCAGCACTGGTAATTATAAGAACTACAAGCCTAAGCAAGAGCAAACATGATGGCCGCGTGCGGGGTGCCCAAATAGGACTTCAGACTGCAGCAACTGGCCTCAGTCGAGTCCTACGAAAGATGGGCAATCATTGCGAGAACAGCGATGTCGAGAAGAACGCATGGCCCTTCAGGACATCCTTGTCCGCAGTACGGTCCCCGCGCGCATCTTCCGGGTAGATCGTGATCGTGTGGTGCGCTCCAGCGCAATTATCCGGGTGCAGGTAGAAGTCCTCTCTATTCAGGCTCTTCCGCGGTTTGTCGACCCCATGCACGCTGCGAAACACTATTAGTGCTACGGGCCGAAGCGGCTGTCTGTGGTACGCACCTCCGACAGTGCTTGTGAAATTTGTGGAGCCCGTCAGCGTGGTAACGGCAGCGAGTACACCCATAGATTCCATCGGGAATGTCGCCCGCTGCCTCAAGCGCTGCCTCGGTAGCTAGGACCAATTTGGTGTGCTCGTCATCAAGTATGGCCCATTTGTCCACCTTGTCCTCTAAGGAGAGCTGCAGACGGGAGTTGTATAGGGCGCACCGAGGTTGCTCGTGTAAGTACTGTAGTCATAGTCACATCAGCACATCGGAAGTGCAACAAAACGCTAGGGCGGCGAGCTCACCGTGTTCTCCCAATCGTATACTTCCATGTACCCATACTTGGGAGTAGCACAAATCTTGCAGTAAAACCGCTTCCTTTGCATGACTTCGTATGTGACTTGGCCCGGATCATATCCACAAGCGCGAGCTAAATCATAGGCTTTTTTGCTGGGGAACACTACGCGGAATGGAGACCAGTCCTCGCGCCAGGGGTGTTCCAATCGTAGTTGACCGCAAGCGGAATTCAGAGCTTCCTCAAGACTGTCGGTGTATCTCCGGAGATGAAGAAAAGGTTGAGAGGGATCACGAGCGCAGGGATGCGCGAGAACGTTTGGCCAGCGGAGATCATTACGACGGCAACACGAACACCGGAAGCTGATAATGGCCAGAGACAGTAAAGGACACTCGGCCACTTCTACACGGTCCTTCGGCACCAGCGCCTCAAATTCACGTTTGCGCGCGTCGAGCCAGTCCTCCTGTAGCGCGTCCACAAGCGCCAGGAAGTCGCCTTCAGTCACGTTCTGGGACGCGGGTGCATCCAAGAGCTGTCGGCATGCGGGCCTCAGCACGAGGTCCGAAAATGTGGCTCGAGTGTCCGAGGCGGGATCTTGAACTCCAAGGTAGGTCGGGTGAGTTTGCATGGTGCGGTGGAATCTCGAGATCCTAGCACCGTACAACTGGATTTTTTCTTTCCTCAAACGGGCGTCGCGTTTAACTTCCAATGGCGCAATTAGATGCTCCCGCATGTCCGTAAAATCTGTATAACATCCAAAATGGTGAGTACCTGGACGTAAGTTGACGAGTCACCAAATCGAACCAGACTCTGTCAGCGGTTCTACTTTGTTGAAGCCTGGCATGTCGTGATAACAGCGGGGGCACCCTTCAGCGAGCTCTTTGCTCCAGCCTTCCTCCTTCAGGCGTGCTAAGATACTAGATCTGCAGCGTCACTACGAAATGCGGAAGGAATTAGACTCTGGGGACTTACGAGTGACGGCGGGCTTCTACTTTACTTTGCCGATAGCGCATGAGCCTCTCATCTTCTTTCGCACCCCAAGCCGTGATCGCTTTAGTGTCCTAGGAGAGCAATACTGTAAGTATCAAAATTACAAGGAAGGTGGTGGCACGAGCCTCTGCCCATTTGTTGACACTACAGATATTCGCTTTTATAAGCTGTCTCCTTTGCTCGAGAGAAGCACGTCTCCAGAGATACTTAAAATGGACAACGGCTGGGAAATAGAACCACCGAACTGTCGTCAATGTCCTGCTACAATGTACCATGATGTCGGCAAAGGATGAAGAATAGCAATATGCACCCACTGACCATTCGTCTCTGCGTGATACAGATCTGAGAAACATGCCCTCAAGCCCAGTCCCCGCGGCCTCCGAGACATCGGATAGGAATTGTTGTATTGTCGACCATTTCACTACCCTGGCCCAAAACATGATATGTGAGAACACAGTGCGACTAATGCACGAGGTCAGAATACTCTCTTACTTACCGCTTCGGAACACAGGAGCTACAGTAACGGCCGTAAAATGCCCAAAAGGGCAGTTGGGCATCCGCCGATCCGCCACATACCTGTATGCCGGCGTTCAAGCCGTATGCTTCAATTTGGATGATAAGACAGATCTAGCAGAGGACTAACCGTGCACCACTGCGTGAAAAGAAGAATCGCATATCTGGGTTCGCTCAGATGGGGTGGGCACGCCGGGGCGCCGTTCGATGTGCGAACCCTCGCTTCCTTCCAAGCGAGCGCAGAGCGGCGGTTCATCAAGAACCCACGGAAAGTTTTGGATGTGCGCGAGAGGTTCAATAGATCCTGCGGGTGTAGGTGAGTGAACACCTGTCAAATATGAGCGTTAACAACTTGGGCAGACACTGATGCCGACTGTGTGCTGGACACACCTCGAGTAGGATATCTAGAGACACGTCTTCCACGAAGGCGCGTCTGGGAAAACTTAGGGTCACATCCTCTAGTTCTCCGTCGACGCTGGTCTCAGTGGCGTTGTCTCCTACGGCCGACCCCGCGAGGCTGGTGGCGCTGTGGGTATCCTTCAGAGAAGCCGCAAACGATGTATCCACTTTCATCTTCTTGCTCGGAGGAGAAGGCATTGTGAAGCAAGAAAGCAAGGTCAAAGTTGAGACAGTGATGTATGAGAATGCAACGAACACGAGGTTGACCAGTGAGACGGGTGACTTGGCGCATCGCGACGCGTATCGTGAGAATCAAAGAGTCTGCGCTAGTACGCTACCCTGAACAACCGATCGGTTAAGTTTCAATGCTGGGCAGCCTGACGCCTTATCCTCGGGGGTAACGCTAGACAACATTTCAGTGGTGCCCGGGTATAGCAGCGGGGAATGGATGTAGAACATACTGGTGCAGGACAAGGAAATTCCAAGGGATCTTAAAGTCGTACGTGCGTTGCACAGCTTTCTCATTTCTGCACTTTGACGGGAAGTTTGAAGTCTCTAGCGCAATCTAAGGCATCCTGGACACCTCGGTAGCATAGCTGCCCCCATAAATCGAGAGCACG